AGACTGTTTTTCTAAGTAATCTAGAATCTAGCTGCAAGGACCCGCTTCGCTGGGTTTTTAAAAAGTAACGATAGTGAAGATTAAGATAATTACATTATAGCCAATCTTACCCGTTTTCACAGAATGCAAGAATTAGGTCCCCCATTTCTGATTAGAGATCTGGTCCCGATTCTATTTCTGAACGTCTCCTGTTTATGTCAAGTCAAACGAACTATTTTCAACATTTCTGGAACGTTTACAATCGTTCTATAATCGAACCAATATTCGAATTTTATGTTCGAATTTAATTCAAATATTGTTCAAATTTGTTTGAACAAATTCGAACATAACATTCGAAATAGAAAGCCACTTTCAACCACTTTCAAGCCCATATCTCCCACACCCTTATAGCTATCGAGATGCAACCCCCCTGGTGCATGAATGGAGACTTGGGGCTACTACCACATACAAACACCATTCACGTGCGATGTGTAGTTTTGGTGGAAAAGTGAAATATAGGGACATACATGTCCATTGATTGGAAAAAAGTTGCAACATTTTCTAAGTTAGCTAGAGCTTCTACAGATGTTGGAGCATCATTACCATCTTCATTTATTCCACCATCATTTTATAATCTAATTCTTGAAAGTCAGGAGTAGTGTCAGAAATAACTAATAATTTCATCATCATTTAAGGAGTATGATGTCAAACAGTCTTGGTCATAAGAAACATATTCAATTACATCAGTGCTGGTAGCATCAACAATACCAATGTCACTGAAACACTTTAATAGATCTTGCAGAAACATAAAAAGAGTGAAGCAAGTGCAGAACCATGGAATACTAAAAATGCAAGTGAACAAGATCTTGCAGATCTTGTTCACTTGCATTTTTAGTATTTCATGGTTTTTCACTTGCTGATATTTTAGGATTAATCATAGGAGGAAGGCATTGAGATTTTACCCAATCATATCTGGGCTCTGTTCTTTCCAAACTTCATTAAACATGTACATTACATCTTTCAAATTAATGTTGGGCATTTGATCAGTTGCATCAACTGTAGCTATGACATTTGTAAACAGCATTTTTCTGTATCTGCATTTTATAGAACAAATTATACCTGAATCTAGTAGCTGCAAAAAAACTAATAGCATTTGCAGGTAAATAAACAGGTACAATTTGTTTCATTTTAAGGGTATGTTCGTAAAGTCAAACGTGTTAAGCATGTTAGTAATGAATGGGTCAAAAAGTAGTAGTCTAGCTCAGTGCACATGCTCTGCAGTGATGACGTTTTGAATGAAATTCTAACAGCATTCACGAAGGAAAGAGTTAGTTTATTTTATTAAGAAAATGGTGCCTGATGATATCAATGTTTCTGAATCTGCTCAAATGTTTAAATTGTGAATTAAAAGGTGAAACGATAGAAATAACTGTCTACCCGAAGCAATTTAAGAAAAATATTTCTGATAAGGCTGCACTAGCAACATTGATAACCTTGATTTTAGAAACAGCCATTTAGTTATAAACAAATTGGTTGAAAAGTCTAACGAAATAAGAATGATGACGTCATTCTTGTTTAACTCATTTGACTTTACAAACGTATCCTAAGTTCATGATGACTGATACAGTTGTCTACGATGAGATCAATTTTTCTTTTAGATTTTAAAAGTTCTGTTTTCCATTCATTTATCCAATCTTGAAATACTGTATTTTTGAATTTATCCACAAATTGGACTGAACAGTGTAACTCACTGGCAAGACTTTTAAGTGTATGTTTTTGAAACATCTAGGTTTTTTGAAGAGTGAATAACCATAGGCCATTTCTTTTTTCTCCATTCACTAACACAGAATGAAGCAGTAATTCTCTCTCTTGAAGTTTTTCCCTCTGCTTGAGTAATTTTTTTCCATAATGTTTGTTTTGATAATGCTTTGTAAACAATTCTGGTTTCATCTGCATTAAAAATATCAGCTGTTTAAACTTTTGCAAAATCTCCTGAAATTTTGGCAAAGCAGCAATTGCTCCTTCAATATCAGCACTTGCAACTTCTCCTTTAAATGTTTTAGAGACAAATCTATGATGACTTGTATCTATGAAGTTTTGTAACCATCATTAGATGCTTTAAATTCAGTTTCTGGAATGTTCATTGTTTTGGAATATTGTAAAGCTTTATTTTTCAGCATATCATCAGTAATGAGAATGTTAACCATGTTATTTTCTCCAACCCACATCACTAGAACTTTTTCCCAAGTCCACAAATTTCCCAAATCAAACATTTTATTTTATTTTTTTCATTTTTTAATTAGTGACAAGTGCACCAGTGTTTAAGTGTTCAACTCCTTTTTTTTTATTTTGCTGATAGCAGTTGGATGAACATCAAATTGTTCAGCAATAGCTTGCATAGCAACACCTTTGCTAAGCAGTTCCAAAATTTCAGTTTTTTATTTTAGATTTAAAGAAATTTCTTTTTTTACTGTTTCCACTCATTTTGTGTAGTAGACTAGTCATTGATTATATAGGAAATATAAATCTAAACTGAACTGAATATTTCACAAGATTCTAAAATATTTACAATAGAACACATGTAAATGTGACTATAGAATATAAACACAAGAAATATAAAAATAAGACTTACTTTTGAAAAGAATACAATTGTTATTGCAGTAAATGTGCACTCCTACAACAAAACTCCAACAACCAAAAGCTGGCAAATACAGGTTTTGGTTTGTTTTTTCTACCCATACTTGTGGCACCATCTAAAAAAAAGGGAGGAATGAATTCCTGTATATTACCATATATATATGGGTAGAAGATAGAACTGGAGCTAAAATAGATTCTATTGTGCAACAAATTCTGTTAAATTGTTGCTCCTCAATTAATTAACAAGTATTGAACTACTAATTAAAGTATCTTATTATAGAATATTACTTATATAATATATGAGTATAAATAAAAGAGTATTTTATTATCTTAATGATTTTTGATAATGTTACGGGTATTAGGTGACACAATTGAGGGAAGTGACAAAATCAAGTTGCAAAGGTCTTAACTAAATAGAGTGACAGAAGGAGTGATATTTGTGAGGGTGACAAAAATGAGGGATTAGTGTAGTTGGCATTCTTTGTTGTGAATGTGATCTCTGTTTTAACATTTTTGTCTCTGCCCTATGGGCACTAACAGTGCCTTTTTTCCAGGGCTGTGGAGTCGCGTAAAAATCTACCGACTCCGACTCCGACTTTTCCTTACCATCTGACTCCGACTAGGGCAGACTTGTTACTGATAGAGACCCGGAAATTCTGATGTCATCACGTGACCTCAGAATAAAATATTCAATAAATAGAGTTGTAATAAAGATAGAAACTTTTTATTTCAAAGCTAAAAGACTTCTCTAAATAATATATAAATATGTATTTGATAATTTTTACTTTTCCAGCTGTTATATATATAACAGAGGAAAAGTGTAGTGCTTGGTCAAAAAATGACCCCTCCCAAATTTTTACATTTTTGGACTCGGGACACCTTGAAATTTCGAGCTATGCAAAAGATTCGAGGTTTTTTCTATATGTGTGGATGTTAGACTGTGTGGGGGGGGGCATGATTTTGTTCACCCAGTTTGAAGCCTAATAATTTCTGTGGTCAGAATCAGAATCAGATGGTTTAACACGGGAGTTAGTTATTTAAGTCAAAGTGGTTGAACTAAATCATGTCCCCATATACATTTTAACATCTTAGGCGAGAACATCTTAACGGGTTTTACTGTACTATTATAAAATGGCAAAAAAGCTTACTTTGAGGGTAAAGACAAGTTTTATTTTATTTTTTTAAATTTTGAACGCTAATAACAAGTAAAATATTCATTAAGAGATATGACACATGACCACTTTTATGTCTTCATCCTGTCGACCTTTAATTAAGAACCAAAATTTAATAGTATTAATACCCCTTTATACGCAAGCTACAGTGCCACGTTTCGTTTCTTAAACTTTACCCGTTCTGAGATGTTTAATATCTCAGAACAGAAAATAACGAAATTAAACAAATTAGACGCCAATACACACGCGTGCATGAATTTTTCCCCTTTATTGACTTTTTTGAGGGGTTTGGGAGGTCTCCAAATGTGTAGATTTTCAAAAAAAAAAAAAAACTTGGAGGGTCAAATTTGACACAATTCCAATAGTTTTCCGTTTTATATACATAACAAGTTGATAAGTAAAAAGGAGTCTGAGTCGGCGTATTTTTTGATGACTCCGACTCTGACTCCGGCTAAAACATCAAAACTCCACGACTCCGACTCCAACTCCACAGCCCTGCTTTTTTCACGTCTGTAGAGGGACAGAGGTTCAGCTAGACCCACAATGGGGTAGCTGGGTGGTGAGTGATAGGGTCCATCATATTTAGAATGACTGACTATTCATCAAAAAATCCTTGGGTTTGTTGATCTGTGTGGATTTGATTTTGGGTCCTTCAGAACGATGACAGCTTGTCTGCCTTAATCATTCGTGTTTCATATGACTCTTAACCACCAATGGCTGTCTGGATAAATCACCAAACACTGGACCAACAAGTCAGATTTGCATTTTACCAATGGGTTGGCATGTGGAGTTTTTCAGGTTTTTGTCACATGTCCTATATCTGTATAGGGGCCAGTTTTCCATAGAAGTGTTTCCAGGAGACATTCCCATTGGCAAATCACTAATTAGCTATAAGCACATTAAGTATGACTTTTATGATGATATTAAGTAGCACTAATTCTAGAAACTAAAAAAACTGATGAAGATATTCAAGGAAGCAACATGAAAAGAATTAAACACTTCAATTATTTTCATTCAGATATTGGATATAATATCATTTTATTGCACATGCACTTCAAATATATTTGTAAATAAAATTTTTTGCATGAGATTTACATAGATATAATATAAAATATCTGATATGTCTTTTGAGAGAGATACTTGTGGAAGTGCTGTTTTGAAATTTTTTTATAATGCTTTAATTATTTAATATGAATTATAATTATGTTTTGAAAACATTTAAATTTCATTAGGTAGGAGATACATTTATATATTATAAAAGAAAAAATAAGATGCCTGAGTGTGTTCAAGGACTTGGACAATGCTTAATGGAATATTTGCATCTAGATTCAAGATATATTCATATTCAAAGATCTTCTGAAAACTTTGAAGAGGTAAACCAAATATTTTTATAATATTATAATTTTTTACATGTATTCACGTGTGCTATTTGAGAATAACAGTTTATTATATTTTTTATAAAACAAATTAAAGATTATAAAAAATAAATTATAAACACATACTGTAAATAATTACTATAACAAGAAAAATTTTCTAAAATGTTTTCTTGTTATAGCACTAATTTACAGTATGTGGTCTTAATGAAAGTCAGGCTATGCGTAGCCTGACTTTCATTGAAACAGATTAGCATGGAATATAAATGAGAATACATTGTTTTGTATTCTGTGTTTTTTGTCTGTTAGGACATATTGAAAATACACTTTATTACATCATATTATATCAATAAAGTTTAATGCGGTAATAGTCATTTTGTCCCCTGGTTGATTAAATGTTGTAAACATTAGCTTTAGTTATCTTGTCTCATATGTTTCAGGATAAAAGGAATTTGATTACTTCTTATAAGTTTATAATTGTTTTTTTAATTTATCATTATAAAAATTTCTTCTATAAATTGTTAGATAAATTTTTATGCATATCAGCTTTTATTTAAATAACCGAATCTCATCTTTAAAGCTTGAAATAATAAATGCAGTTACTAACTACTCTAAGATTTCTGAAAATTTAGCGAAACAATGTAAAATTATTAAATACCATAAACTAGTAAATAGATACAGTATTTATTTAACAAACTTTAACAGAAAATGAGATACATAAAATGTACAATATATAGTAGATGTATTTTTTTAATTACAGTAGAGCATCATTTATCCGAATCAATTGGGGACTGGGGTTGGTCGGATAACTTATTTTTTGGATAACCGATTATGTACGAAAAAATACATTAATCTATCCCATGTTGAAATTTTTCTCTGTTGCATGTTGCTTCGCGTTGAATTTTCGTTGATGTTAAGCCTAACGTAAACTTTTTAAAATAATAATCATGGCTATTGTATCATTAAAAATTATTCTTTTATTTTATATCAAAAACGTTTGATTCGGCATGACACACAGTCCTCAAAAAAAACCACACAAAAGTGACAGTGCTGCCAGCTAAAACACACACAAACATAAAAAATATTGGAGTAGCCTAAGATATAGCCAAAGATTGCAGCACCATGGCACTAGCGAAAATTTAAATTTGCTGACTGGAATTCTTTCGGATAAACGACGCTCTACTGTATTTACTTATTATTGCTATATAGAAAGTAACTCTCACTATACAGAATGATACTAGCTGCCATTTCAAGTACAGTTTGTTTTAAAAATCAGAATGTTCATAAATAAAATATTTAAATACTTCATTAATAATGTATGTGAGAGCCGAAATTAGTGGAATTATTTTGTTTAAATATATTTTTGTTGAGAGAAAAATTAAAGAGACAAAACGAAAACCAAAATTTTCAAAGATAATTAAACTGTTTGCCCACAGACTTATTTCCTTGTTGAAGATAATACATTGAGTGTGTCACCCAGAATCTATGATGAAAAATTCAACTATTGGATGACTGTAGAAAAACTTCTAATAATGCCATGGAAAAAACCCAGGACAGACCTCCTAATAAAAGGGAAGGGTTGATGATACAGATACAGATATATTTTATTCAACAAACTAGGTACAGTGTATACTGGGCACCACATAGGTATAACCCAGTTTGATACAGTGAAAATAGTGACATGATAGATATATAGTATTTATTACAATTATTAGTGGATTATATAACAAGGAATTTGTTACAGATATATATAATTGGTGATTATGTACAGTACAATAGTTAGTAGGATATAATAATATAAAGAAATAAAATTAAATTAAATATCAGGTACAATTAATTCAGTAAAAAATAATCAATTAATACAAAAGGAATTAGTTACAAGTACTTATTTACAATATATACATGCAATGACAAACAAGTTTACATTTAATACAAATTACAATGTCTTAGCAATATGGTACGTTGACATAAATTTGAAGATACACAGGGTGGTTACGTTGATGAGATGATTGTCACCAAAGCAACAAGCACAGAAGGGTGTGAATAGAACAAGGTGAGGCCAGAAAAGACAAGGTGATCTTGGCAGAGGAGGCTAGGAGTAGGCATTGACCATGGTTCGTACAAAGTATTTAGTGATGAGTGTTAAGAAGGCATCATAAGTGTCCTCATAGTCAAAGATTCTCGTACAGTCAGTGGGCCATATTCCACCATGTGCCTCAATAGTGAGCTTAAGGTGAAACCTTTCTGGTTCTAACATCAGGCAGTCGAAGAAGTAGTGTCGACTGCCGTCCACGACACTGCACAGGGAGCAGTTAGGATTGGATGCATTAGTGAACCTTATAAGGTATGAGTTGAATCTGCCATGATTACTGAGGAATTGACTAGCATGATGGCAAGGTTTGTACCACCTGCTAAAGATAAAAGGCTCAATGAGAGGGATGAAATTAAATGTAGTACTAGCTTACCCGTCGCGCATTGCTGCAATCTCAGAAGAAACAAAATTCAAGCAAACTTGTTATAATAAAATTCAATTTACATTTTATCATTTTTTTATTGAAACTTATTATTATTATTATCCATTTTCATTGGGAAACCATTTCAAAGTGTCATTTCAATTTTATTTATTTATTGGAGTGCTTGTGGATACATGATATTTTTTGTTTTTCCGTCTGGTGCGTACATGAATAAATCAGAAGGTTTTCCTGTGCATGAGCTGGCCACATACAGTTGTCCATGTGAGAAGCATGGATTCTCCAAATGTAGCCCACACACTTGCAGCGATTGTCAGAAGTGCGATATTCCCCATTTTTATATATATATATTTTTAATCCTTTATAATTTTAATTATTTAATTGCTCCTTCCTCTCTTCCTTGGCATGTTGTGAAATTTCTGATAGTTGGATAATAAACCATTTTATTGTAATTTCTTTTTTTAAATTATTGTGAGTTGATATTAAAATTTGGAAAAGGGGGATCCCTAGATTGGTAAAATAGGCAAATTTCCTCCTACAACTTCGGTTGTTGCTCGGGATACAGTTAAGGTTTTAACAAAGTTCGAGCGAATACATAATTAGCAAAAAATAGTTGAAATAAAGTGATTAAACAAAAATTATTACAAATATCGTAAATAACAGTTCACAAATGCATATATAGAGATACAGTCGACCCCCCTATAAGATCGTTGATTTTTCCGTTTTATCTGAATTACATGTTGTACGAGTCACTTAGATTTTACAAATACATGTGCCTGGCTGTGAACGGCTCACATATTTGTAAAATCTAAGTGACTCGTACAACATGTAATTCAGATAAAACGGAAAAATCAACGATCTTATAGGGGGGTCGACTGTATA